TAAACTGAATGTGATCATTCAGGATGACCTCATGGTTAGGTGAACAAGGTGGTTTAGTAAAAAAACAAAACAAAAAAACTGGTTTCTTACTCAATACCCACTTTGCTCTTCCTCTGAAACAGTTTGTTTTGCACAAGATATAGGAGGGGTAGGTCTTGTTTAAGCCAATCAGCATTTTGTATTCTGCTGATAACTATTACTGTTACCTAAAAATAAATATAACAATATAGCTCAATCAAACTAAAAAAGGGGGCTTAAGAGTCCACACGTGGGGAATGTTTTCTCTCTTCTGCTAGTCTTGAACAAGAAAGTACATGTTTGACTTCGTCTCCTGGAAGAGAGAGCTCTAAGATGAAAGTGGCCTGGGTATTAAATGATGCCGGCATCTATGATATCACTCACAAGCACCTAGGATACTACTCAGTGCATGCTTGTCCTAACTCTGAACTTCTTCAGTTATGCTAAGATTTTTCTTGATGAGAACTTTTTTAATTCATTTTTATGTGCATGAGTGTTTTTCTGCATGTATATGGGTGCACCACACATGTGCAAAGTCCATGGAGACCAGAAGAGGGTGTTGGAGCCCCTAGAACTGGAGTTAGGGATGGGTGTTAGCCAGTGCTCTTAACTACTGAGCCATCTTTCCAGCTCCTTGATGAAAATTTTCTATTACTTGCTGTTGAATTCACCGGAGTTGACAATGAAACTACTACTAAAACGGTTTTTACTTTTGTATGTGTACAGTGTACATGTGCATGTATACACACAGGTGCATATGTGTGTGGAGGCCACATGTCAACACTGGGTATCTTCATCATTTTCTACCTTATTTTTTAAGACTGGATCTCTCACTGAAGGGCTAGCCAGGCTAGAGCTCTGGAGATCCACCTGTCTCTGTCACTCCCCATTACCCGTTAGGGTTACAGATACATGCCTCTGCACCCAGCTTTTACATGGGTGGTGTAGACTCAAGTCTTCAGTTTTTGTGGCAGACACTTAATCGAGTCATCTCCTAGCCCTTACAAGCCTTATAGCTAAAAAAAGAAACCATGGGCACAGTTACACATGAACTCTCATGGGAAGCATCTTGAATATCCATCACAGCATCAAACACTTAAATCTTAATTTTTGAATTT